TATTCTTATCACATAATCCAATAAAATTGTATTAAAAAAAAAAAAAAAAAAAAAAAGAAATTGTTCATAGAATGAATTTAGTCGGTGATATAATTATATAGTGTTAGACATAAATCCAATAACATTGCATCGCAATAAACTTCCTTAGACATGATGATGTGGTAACATAATCTAATAGTGCATTTGGTGTATGCATTATAATATGTTAGGATTACATAATCGTTGCATAGTACGCGGCTCCGTTAGGTGCGATCTAGGTCTCTTAATGCCGGGAAGAGTTTATAAAGCCGGAAGCTACATCAGCGACCCTTCGTTCTTGATTCGTCGAGTGGGTTGGCTATTCGTGCAAACTGGGTTAGGGTACAATCATCCGGATGTCTTTTAAATGCGTTTTTCTTTAGTCAAGATTAATGTAAGAAAACGAACTAACCAATCGATTTTATTTTATTATTCTTATAAAATCATTCGATATATAAATCTCATGCAAATTTATTTAAAAGAAGAAGAAGAAGATGAAGATGAAGAAGGAATAATTTACATTTGTTAAGAACCTCTTCGAATGAAAGAACATTTTATTTCCTTTTTTTATTTTTTATATCGATGATAACAAAGTTCGATCAAAAAATAATCATAAAATCATATTTTTGTTATCATAGGATAATATCGTTTAATTTAATATGTATAAATGGATGCTAAATGTGGACCTATGAAGTAATTTCTAGGTAAATTTAATTGGAAATAATAATTTTGTAATAATTATTATTATAATTGGAAATTTATTTCAAACGTTATGTTTGAAACTTTATATATCAAAACTATTAATTACAAATGTGAAATTCTCTAATTTCTTCGTTCTCGTAAAACTCCTGTGTACAAGGCAACTTCTAAATATAAATTCCCTTCTTTTTTTTTTTTTTTGTTAAGTGTGTTATTAAAATTAATTGGGAGTAAAGGAAAAAATTAACAAAAAGAAAATAATAATAATCAAAATTTAACTACAAACTCGTATCAAAGTTTGTAAATGATATTAAAAATCAATTATACTCATTTTTTTTCTTTAAGATTTTAAAAATACTAGCTTAGGAAGTTTTGAGGAATATCGTATGACAAAAATGATTATTATATGATATATTTTTTTTTTTATTTTTTTTTCCTTTCGTATTTGATAAAATTAAAAAGAATGAGTATAATGAAGTTGTAAAGATGATCTAAAAAGGGTCTTATATTTGAAAAGGCGTTATCATAACACAATGTTTATCCTTTCGAAGTTAGTATTGTTATTTTGTTGATTCGTGAACATCGCAGGAACGTTAACATTGGCCGTTGTCGTACTCATTAGCCAAAATGTTATTCCCACGCAACGATGCACACCGAGCTAATTAGAACGAATTACCCAGGTTTACGTTCGCGAACCAGTGAGTTCACTGAGTTCACGTATGTTCCATCTACTAATACATTTGTATATGTGTATGTATGTATCCATGTATTTTATTCATATATGTATATATATATAAAAAGTATTTTCAATGAAAAGAAACAATAAAAAACAAAACAAAACGAAATTCTATGCACACGATTGATGCTTTCTTAACCCTTTGAATGCTATTGACGCATATATGCATTTGATAAAAATTATCAGAGTGGTCTATCGACGCATATGTGTTTGTTTATATTAATGTAAAATAATGTGATGTTTATATGTATTAATTAAATTATAATTGTAAAGAAAAACTTTAATTATTAAATATAATTTGATTAATAATAAATTATTCTGTTTCTACAAAACGTTTTAGGTAGAAGTATTGAAGCACTCAAAGGGTTTAATAAAAATTTTATTAAATCCATAATATCTGTTAACAAGAATTATTTTTTATTCTACAAATAAATTGTTTATATAAACGTTAACATCGTATTGTTAGAATATATTTAAAAAAATGTAATAATAAATATTTCTTTTTTTTGTATGAATCTAATTTTGGTTACGTATATTAAATTAACTTTTCTGTTAATTCTTATAACTTTTGGTCAATAATTAATGAATAAATAAATAAATAAATATAAAAAAAAGTTATATATTTATTTTGTGCATTATATTAAATATGATACACATTGTTATATAAAATCTAACTTTACGTATAAAAGGGTTAGTTGAAAAATTTCGAAATTCATTCTAAAAAGAAACTCTTTCTTTTTTGTTTGACCAAACGACAAAATTATTTCTATATTCGGATCAAATCTTTTCAATCTATCCAGTAATAAACAAACAAAAAATACAAATTTTAATTAATCAATTTAAAATAAATTGAGAATTAAAAATTACTTGTTTTTTTTTTTGTTTTTACAAATATTTAAATTGATTTTGTTAATCTTTTGTAATTATTTTGGTTGATCGATTAAATAATTGATCGATCGATTGATCAGTAAAGAGAAACGTAAGAACAATTTGAATTGGTTAGTCTCACGATAATTGAAGGAAATTTTTACAAGTAGGTTTCGAGTGCTGTTTCGAGTAATGGGATTAAGAACGTTTAACGAAACGATGCTGTGAAGAGCTTCTAAATAAATTCCGGCAATTAGAATGAAAGCTCTTACAATTAGATCGAAGAATCCTCTCACTGGATTATCTTAATCTCAACTAAACTCTTTCCGTGTTCATCGTAAATAAAACAAAATATATAAACGAGTTGTGAAAAGAGTTTTGATGAGCATCGATATAAATATTCAACTTTTATTTTTAAATCAAAGTAAATTTAAAATTGATAAAAAGAAATTTTTATATGTTGGAGACCAAAACTTTTCAATCCACCTGATGATCTATACATAATTTACATATATTTCACATATACATATATTTATATAATTTTTATATGTTATATTTATATTATTATTTTTTTATGTTATATTTATATGGTATTTTTATTCTATAAACAATGAAAAGAAAAAAAGTTTAAAAAATAAATAATACATAATTCAAATAAAAATCACCTAAGACAATTATATATATTTTAGCAATAACAAAACTACAGCTAGGTATTTAGTTTCTTTTATTTTTTTTTTTTTTAAATTCATTTAAGTTTATATATTGTTATATAATAAATATATAATATTATATATATATATATATATAAATTTAAATTTATATATATTCCATACTGTGTCCATATGATAATAGAACTAGATGCATTTGTTTTGTTTCGTTAATTTAAAAAACAAAAAAGAAAAAAAAAGAAAAGAAAAAAATAGATAGAAAATAATAAATAAACAATAATAGGAAGTATCTTGGTCGAATCGAATGTGATAAATTTTAGAAAAGGTTTTGCTAGATTTGCCCTAAGGCACGTAGAGGATAAACGTGAGTCGCGTACCATAGAGTTGAAGACAATCGATAAGTCGCGATATATCCGTAGGAAGAGTGAATTTTCACATTTTCACGACTCCTGTCTCTATACGTACGATACATACAGAAATATACGATATCATACACTACATATAGTATACCTGTATGTATATAATCATAAGAAGGAAAACATATTTTCTGGTCAAACTTTTAGAACATAACCACTCTACTAAAAAAAAAAAAAAGGAAAAGAAAAACTTTAAAAAAGATACATATATATATATATAACTATAAATAATCGAACGAAGGAAAATATTTTCTGGTAAAACTTTTACGGCAAAACTTTCTCAAGAGAAAACAAAAAAATATTATAAAAAGAATATACAGAGATGATTTTACATAAAAAAAAAAAAATTTTTAAATAAGTCGAAAGAGAGTATAAAATAAAATGTGTGTGTGTGTGTGTGTGTGTGTGTGTGTGTGTGTGTGTGTGTGTGTG